TATATATATAATATATATATTATAATATATATAATATATATATATTATATATATATAATATATTTCGGTTCATTTATATGTGAACTATAGATTTCTGATAAATAAAATCATGATTAATATGTATTACTCTATTTATATTCGTAATTAGTTCGGATATGTCACGTATTTTAAGTAACAATAAAACATAATAATATATAATAATAGTTGTAGCTAAAATGTTCTATAAAACACTTGTTCATCATTTCTTCTAAAAAGAAAAATTTTTTCCTCATAAATTATTCATAAAATAAAACAAAATAATACTTTAAATTTTGATAATATAAGGATTTACATTTTTCTTATTGTTTAATATTTGAAATGTTATCAATTTATTAAAATTAAACATTTACAATTAACAATTAAATTTTCAAATTAGTAAATAATTAAAGGATTATTATTAGCAAATTTGATAAATTCAAATAGTTACTACTATTGCCTTTTGTATAAAATTTATTTTATTAAAATAATTCTAAATACGTGGTATAGTAATTCATGACAAATTAAATCGAATAAAATTTTCATTCAATTCGATTATTATATATTATAATAGGATCATGTAAAAGCCGTAATAAAAATTTCACAGTACATTTTTTGAACGAAAATATATTTTTTTAATAAACAGATATTACATAACGAAACAAAATGTAACTTAAAATAAGGTACTTTCTTTATTAGGATATATAATTAAACACTTTCTTCACAAGATCAATGAACAGGATCAAGGATTATTATTCTACTCCAGGATGACTATATTTTCAGGTGAATGCGGTATCATGCATCGATATTACTGTCACAAACTGCGTTTATTTTTATCATTAATGTATATTATTTATTATAAATAAGTTAGAAACATTGATTTTATTTTGGGCTTGGTAGGTGTTTACATTTTATACACACAGAAAGAATACCCAACATATTATGCTTTCAGAAAAATGTATACTTTTGACAAAAAATGATTTACAAATGAACTATAGCCACAAATTTGCGTGTCACTCGCTCGATCACGAATCAGGCGGAAGAAAGCCTGCTCGTCTCAACCAATTTTTTTTAATTTTTTGTTAAAATGTTTCACGCATACTGCATACATATCGTATATTTAATTTCATTCATTCCCGCTCTCATTCTTTCTTCCTTTCTCTCCCGCCATTCCCTCCCTCATTCACTCTTTTTTCTCTCTCTCTCTCTCCCACTTCTTTCTTTCATTTTCACTATCATTATTCTCACTTTGAATACGCATTTATCTCCTCTCCCTCATTGCCACTCGCTCTCTTTAATCACACACTCTCACTGAAAACCAAGCAGTATTATTATTATTATTAATATTATTATTATTATTAATATTATATTATTATTATTATTACTAATATTATTATTATTATTCAATATTATTTGTTATTATCTCTTAACATTATATTTTATTCAATGTATTTATATATTTTTTTCTTTCATATAAACTCAGTGTTTCAACCAAAGTAGGTATGACATATGCTGCCCAGTGTGCGTGCAGTGTTAGCAGTATCAGGGTTAGACATTCAGGCTACATATATCCAAACGTCACACTCTAATTCACTGATTTGACCAACACCGTAAAGTTTATTTTGCAAGTACTCTCCAGGTTTGTACACAGCTGTTTTTATCACCTTTGCGCAAATGTTCTTTGAATAGAACATCAAAAGGTGGCACAAACAGCAGTTAATCGAACCATTAGAGAATACAAGCAGTGGGCAGCGCGCTAGCCAGCATGAGCGAGCGCAGGCAGTGAGCAGTTCATACATACGTACACTGTAATGTGGATACAATGCAAGCTAGGGCCATATGTTCTTGAACGATGTCCCTAGCTGCGCAACGCTGTGTCAATAAGTGAGGGCTGGATGAAAGGAAAACTAGTGTTGTAATTAAGACTTTTACATCGTTCTCGTAGATCGCTGAATTATAACTGTATGGTATGAGATCGCAACCCTCACATTCTGTACACAGCCTACGGAGAAAAAAGACAGCAGAAGAATCTGCAA